TTATCCTTGCAAGCACTTACATCTTGTCTTCCATTCTACTTCTAATCTTATCTCTTATTTCAGTTCTAATAGTATTACCCCAAGACTTTCCTTTTAAGAGAGATTTGGTGACTAAAATATTTAACCAAACATATTACAACTCCTTAATTGAATACCCTATTTAAATAGGGTATTTGCTTATAAGTCACAATCGTCCAATTATAAATGTAAAATGTTTACATTGCAAAATCTTAATTTCCTTTCAAAATGATATGGTTGGTGTATTGTCATTTGAATGATCGAGGTAAGCAGGCTCATGATTGCAAAGTGATTCTTCATTCTTAAAAAAATGAAAAGAAAATATTAAAACTACGTTCTTCTTTTGTATGCGTTCTGACGTTAAAAAATAGTCTAATAATACGGATCCAAGCATATAGCAAACCTAACAATTCCAATCTTATTGTCATCCACTTTAGTCAAGCTAAATCTCAACCAATGTAATAATATTAGCAATATTAATATTATGAACAACATGAGTATCTGAAAATTATTTTCTTGTTCCCCAATAAAATATATATATATATATATATAAAAACTGTAACGGAAATTAATTTAAGTATGCAAATTCAAATCAGACATATGATTGCAATGTGATAAGGTATCTTATGTCTCATCACCTCCCAAAATTTGTCTATAATCTTGTGTCTAGTTATGTCCACAATAAACTATACCACTATTTGAATTAATTTAATTATGTAAATTCATATAAAAACCTAAGGCTCTTATCAATTAGATTTTATAAAGTTATACCTTAATTTATTTAAAATACAGCCAGTAGTGTCGTCCCTTTGATTCGGTCATTATTAATCTGTTTATTTGAACAAAAAATATTAGAGAATGTTTTTATATATTTTTTTTTGACGTTTGTTGCAATAGGAAACTAAAGTCAAATGAAAATGTTTTTCATAGTCAACGAAAAATAAATTTATTTGGATGGAAAGGTTTTTTACTTTTAAAAAAGTAAACTAATTTTCAAACTAAAATCGTATTAATATCATTACACTACCACATTGATAAGCAAGAACAATAGAGACCACCCGATCCGTAGCTACACAATGGAGATATCATGCATATTAGTGTGGATCTTAATTTTCTTAGTCAAATATCAAATAAAATATTTTGTAGAATTATTAATCTCAATGCCATGTTTGCCCAAACAAACATGGCCTTAACTCTTTCAAACTCCACTTTGCTTGATGACATCTTGTTCCACTTGACCTCAACTTCATCTAACCCCCATACTATTTCTGCATAACAATACGACTTAACTACTAAAAAATGGAAACAAAAAAGAAAATAAAAATTCATGATTTCAAAACTCGCTGAATAATTGACAAGAAAGTACCAAATGTCATACTCTTTCACTATTTGCATGTTGAGCTTTATGTGAAATGCTAGGTTTGCCTGATTGATTATCAAATTCAGACCCTTTCAAAATGGTTATTTATTTATTTTTTACGATACATAGGAGGGAAATAGGAAAAAGATTAGTTTGACTAGTTAAGTAGTACTGTAGTAAACTTTGGTATGACTGATGAAAATGGGTTCTAGAGAGAGAGAAAGGGCGACAGAGCAAGGAGGCTGGAGACCTGTTATTCGAACTCGAAGGGGAGCACTGGATTATGGAGGTAAAGAAGATGAGATCTTCACCATCTTCGTGGATAATTTACCAGAGAGCATGACTTCAAAAGATCTTTTCATGTTGTTCACAAAGTTTGGGGTAGTCAAGGATGTCTTCATTCCAATGAAGAGAAGGAAACAAGCAGGGTCAAGATTTGGGTTTGTTAGGTATGGATGTCGGGTTTCTATGGCTGTGGCTGTCCAAAAAGCAAACGGGATTTGGTTGGAGAATAAAGAACTGATAGTCAAAAAAGCCGGTTTTGAAAAAGTGAATCAAAACAAGGTTCAGAGGATGGAGATAAAAAGAAAGCCAATTATGAAGGCCGATGGAGTTAGTCAAATAGATGAAAGTTAGGCGCCGAAGCCGTTGGTAGAAGGGACGTCGTTCGCTGATATAGTAAAGAGTGGGGATAATCAAAGAAGAAATGAGGTGACTTAACAAGCAGAGGAAATTGGAAATGGTTGGCTTTATGAAAGTTTGATTGTCAAACTTAAGTCTTTTGGCAATTTTGAGGAGTTTAAGAAGGAATTTCAAAAGAGAGAAGAGAAGGATGTGCAAGTTCGAGCTGGAGGGGGGAAGACTAGCAGTGCTATCTTTCAAAACTGTGCAAGATATGCAGAAAGGCAAAACCAGTTTGAAGAAATGGATTTTTGAATGGTGTGATACCATGACAGAGTGGAGGCCAGGTTTTCATGTCCAACAAGAAAGATGTATTTGGATTAGTTGCTTCGGTGTTCCGTTTAATTTGTGGAACACGAAAACGTTCAGAGACATCGGAGCAACTTGGGGGGAGGTAATTCAATTTGATGATGCCACGTTAAGTGGAGAGTCCTTTCATTGTGGTAGGATAAGAATTCTCACAAGGTGCATGGATTTTATTAATAAAGTGGTCATGTTGAGATGTAAGGGTTTTTTGTACCCAGTTAGAGTGTGTGAAAACGTTGATTTAGCATCTTGTTCAGAGATGTTTTGTTACAAATGTAAAGGTTTAAAGCAGAATGGTGCTTCACTTGAATCTAGTGGTAGTGGTAATGTGATTCTTGGAAGAGCAGGGATGACTGCTTTGGAAGATGATGAGCATTTAACAATGGCAAAAGTGTTAACCAAATTTGCGTGTGCCAAGGAAAATCAGTCGGTTGATGAGAGGGGAGTGGAATGGGAATCTGGAGTAAAAGAAACTGACATCAGTATAGGAAATGCAAAATGTGGCAGTTTGCTCAGGGATGAGTCAAGCGTGCAAAGGGAGCAGCTCTGCAGGAAAGCAAATAATGATGATAATAATGAAGTAGGTGGAAGCATTCAAAAGATTGGATTTATTATAAGTCTTAGTGGGTCTGAAGGTGTTAGGCCCAGCATAAATTTGGAAGTGGTATTAAAGAAGGCCCAAGATGATTTGTTAGTTTGTGGGCCATCGAAAAATGACCTCACTTATTCAGTCCAAACTCAGTTGTTTAATGAAAATTCAAGCGGGAGTCCATCTTCTTCTAATTTAAGGAAAGTCATGACTGGAGAGGGAGATAACAGAAGAAAGAGAGAGGAGTTTTATGAGGCATGGCCAGATTGGAAAGAAAAGAAATCATTGTCGTATCCCAGCTGGAAACAGTTTCAAAAGAGGAGCCTTCATCAGAGCAGCAGCAGCTGCAGCTGCAGCTGCAGCTTCAGTATCTTTGTCTCATAACAGCAGATCGAGTAGGAGAAGGCTAATGAGAAGAGAAACTGAGATAACAGTACAAATTGGCAAAGAATTGGGAATCGACTATCGCAGGAATGAAGAGGAAACAATTCATAAGATTATGGAACTTGAAGAACATGATCTTGATAGGGCCATCAATAGGGCTGAGGCTTTCCAAGCTTAATGGATAGTTTGCAGGTGATTCAGTGTCATAAAAAAAGTTTTAATGATTATTATGTCATGGAATATTAGAGGTCTAGGAAGACCGGAAAAAAGAAGGTGGACATCTTACTGATTCAAGAGACTAAAAGAAGTTGTTTGGATAAGGAGATAATTAGATCTATTTGGCCCTGGGAAATGATGGATTATATGGCGGTAGATGCTGATGGATGTGCAGGGGGATTACTTTTGGTTTGGAATCCTGAAATTTTCTCTCTGAAGGATTGTTATAGCAATAGAAATCTCATCCTTCTTTCAGGTATTTTCAATAATTCTTTTGGTTGTGTCATTATTAATATGTATGCCCCAAACGAGGTTGCTAATAGGAGAAAAGTATGGGAATCAACTGTCAGGTTAAAATCCTCATTCAAAAATCCTTGGTGTATAGGGGGTGATTTTAATGAGATTAGGGCGATAAAGGAAAGAAAGGGCTGCTTAAGGAAGGATAAGGGCATGTCTGACTTTAATGAGTTTATTGAGAAGTTGGAGATGACTGATATTCCTATGCTAGGAAGAAACTACACTTGGAACAATGCTCAAGAGGGGGGGAGATGTACTAGGATTAATAGGTTCTTGTTTGAGACAGCATGGTTAGAAAAGTTTGACTTCAAATTATGGGGCTTACCTCGGATTGTCTCCGATCATTGCCTATTAGTGGTTAGTGTTAAAACTACTCCACTTCACCTACTCCACTACACAACTCCACCTACTCCACCTACTCCACTACACTTACTCTCCACCCACATCTCCTATATAAAGGAGACCAACCATGTACATAACCCTCACCTACTCCTCACCTACTACCCAAACCCTCTCCTATATAATGAGCTACTCTGATTTGTAATAAACCACATCAATCAATAATATCAATTATCAATACATATTTCATTCTCTCTATTTTTCCATACATCAAATTTAACATGGTATCAGAGCGGGTTTAGAACCTAATATTTTCGCTTTCCCAGCGGGCGGCAGCCTCGCCTTGGCCGCCCGCCGGACCTCTCATCTTCCAACTATTTCTGCATGACTTCCATCACAGTGAAGGCACAAGCCCTGTTCAGATCAACCTTGCCAGTTTCAATTATGTACTTCAGCCTCTTTGTGCTTCCATATATGGCGGAGATCTTTCAACAATGGCAACAACCCTCACTTCTTCTCTCTCCTCCAAGCCCAAGACCCAAAATTGGATCTGACCAAGACCTCTTTCTTGGACCAGTCCTCCTTCAAGAGCTCACTCTTGGTCTGCAAGCTCATTCAGACATGGGTGCCATTACCCTTCTCATCCAAGATGATGTTGGGGATCTCCAAGTTCTCAAGGATGGTGAATGGGTAAATGTACATTCTTTATCTGATGCCATTGTTGTCATTTTGGCTGACCTTCATGCGGAGTTGGATCGAGCCTGCAAAGATTGGGGTGCGTTTCACGTGACGAACCGTGGTGTTCCAATCCAATTGCTAAACGAGATGAGGAGAGTCGGTGTGTTGTTCTTCGAGGAGTGTCCAATGGCTGAGAAGCTCAGGTACTCTTGCGATTCCAATTCGTTTGCTTCTGAAGGCTATGGAAGCCGTTTGTTGGTTTCATCCAATGATACAGCGTTGGATTGGAGAGATTACTTCGGTCATCATACTTTGCCTCTTTCTTGCCGGAATCCCGATCGCTGGCCTCACTTTCCTCCTAATTATAGGGAAGTTGTAGCAGAGTATGGTGATCGTATGAAGGTCCTCGCTCAGAGGCTCTTGAGCTTGATATATGAGAGTCTAGGCCTGCCATCTTCACGGATTAAAGAGGCCGTTGGAGAATTCTACCAGAATATCACAGTTAGCTATTACCCACCTTGCCCACAGCCAGAGCTCTCTCTCTAGCCAGGCCAACGGTGCCGCTGCTCTTTCTCTCTCTATACATAATTCTATCAACTCAGGGACAAAGTTTTCACTTTTTGAATAAAGCCACAACATTACACAAAACCAATTTTTTTTTTTTTATTCGTTTTATTATTATTATCATCATCATCATCATGTACCCCACTCTCTCTCTCTCTCTCTCTCATTTTTTCACTTTCCAACCCACCAGGGCACATGCTTTCGCCATTAATATATTATTATTATTATTACAAAAAAAAAAAATACCAAACCCGTTGCAGGTTTTAACAAAACCGTGGGCCAAGAAACCCACGTGAACCAATCTCTTTTTTTCCCTCACTCTCTCGTTTTGATTTCAAATATATTATTATTATTTCTTTCTTTTTTTATTTCACTTTATTTTTAATCTTTTTTTCCATTATTATTTCTGCTCCGTATTATGTCATTCCTGCCATACGATTTGCACAAAAAAAAAAAAAAACTCGTTTTATTCCATGACAGGAATCAACCCGTCACAATTTCTACACAACACACACACCACAACAAAAAAAAAAACAAACAAACAAACAAACAATCAAACAACCACACATTTTTTCGTTTCCCTTTTGCTGCCGGTCTCTTCCTCTTGCCTTCGTCTTGGGCGACCCTTGATGGCCCTCCCTCAGTACTTCCTAATCCACCGAGCACGTTCACTCCCCCCTGCTCCTCCACTGCAGCATATGGCGGACCTCCAAATCGGAACATCACGGTGGCCTTCCGCTTCAGCTCCTTGTTTTTCGCCTTTAGTACACATATTTCTGCTCGCGCATCCTTATACATGCGCTGGAGCAGAGCCAGTTGGGCGTTTAACTGCTGTACCTCATTTGTCCTACTCTGAAGCCAGTGCGACAAGTTTGTGACTGCAGTCATGGTCTCCACACATGACTTCAATGTATACTGATTGGCCTCAATATCCAATTGCGCTGCCATTATTTGCTCCACAGACCGCATAGGAAAGGTCAACGGAGCAAAACCAGGGGCGCTTGGTTGAGGTTCAAGGGCCACCGCACCGGTTATCTCTCTTGTGGACTCGTTGAGGTCGGGAAAGAGGGTGAGCAAACCACGGGAAGAAGAGGCCATGTTCTGGGTAGCTGAACGGGAAGAAGAGGCCATGTTTTAGGTTGCTGAGTGTTTCAGAGAAGCAGCGATTTCCGACTGGTAATGTCAGAAAGGGTTGGTTACAGAGTGTTTCAGAATGAAAATGTTCAGAGGTTTCAGACTGGTTTGGTTTACACAGCCTCCGCATTGGTTTATATAGACAATGACGACGCGGACGACACGACACTTTGTCGATCACGTGCCTCGCCGCGTGTCCGGCACAAATTTTGATGGCTCGCCGCTCGATGATTTCTGTTGGGCACGGCTTTTGCTAAAGTGGGCGCGCCTTTTGAGGGCGCGACTTTTGAGGGCTCGATATATATCTACATGTATATCTTTTGGGCATCCTATATACACAATCATACAGTATCTTCTACATCGGTCCGGCATGACCCCATAAACTGTCCCGACATTGATTCCGGTTAGCTTCTCCAATGGTCCGACATGACCTCGTAAACTGTCCCGACATTGATTCCGGTTAGTTCCTATAACGGTCCGACATGACCCCATAAACTGTCCTAACATTAATTCCGGTTAGCCTCTACAATGGTCCGACATGACCCCATAAACTGTCCCGACATTGATTCCGGTTAGCTCCTACAACGGTCTGACACAACCATACAGTGTCTTCACCAACGGTCTGACACGACCATACAGTGTCTCCTATCCTCTTTTATTTTATGTATTAGTCTATTTTCTTATTTTGTTACTCTTTCCAAACTCAAGTTGATTTGTGTCTCTCCTCCTTGAGTTTGCGGGGGGCTATTAAAACTACTCCACTTCACCTACTCCACTACACAACTCCACCTACTCCACTACACCTACTTTCCACCCACATCTCCTATATAAAGGAGACCAACCATGTACATAACATAAAAAAATCATCACATACAATTTATTCTCTCTCTATTTCTCTATACATTAATTCTAACAGTCTCTCTATTTCTCTTTATACATTAAATTTAACAGTTAGAGAAGATGCTAGGGACTGGCGTCCAAAGCCATTCTGATTCATTAATGCTTGGTCTATGCATCCTAATTTCAAGCAAATAGCAGCAGCAGTTTGGTCTAAGGTCCAAGATCAGGGATGGGCTGGGTACAAATTGAGGAATAAGTTCACAGCCTTGAAGCACAAACTAAAATTGTGGAATCAGGAGGATTTGGGGAATGTGGATCGTTGACTTAATCAAGCTGAGGAGGATCTTCATAGCTTTGATCTAGAGGCAGAAAAAAGGGATTCAGATGAATTTGAACATAAAAGAAGAAGGGAAGTCAAGGACTTGGTGTGGAAATTGAGAAAGAGGAAGGACTCACTATGGTTTCAAAAATCCAGATTGGATTGGACTCAAATGGGGGACAAGAACACTAGATTCTTTCATATATGTGCCAGTAGGAGGAGATGTAAAAACCTACTGGACTCTGTACATGTAAATGGGGTCAAAATTGAAGATCCAATTGCAATCAAACAGGAAGTATGTAGGTTCTTTTCCAAGCTGTTTTCTGAAACTTGGGTGAACAGACCTAAACTCTCAGGGGACTTCAAAACTTTTAGCAGGATTAAGGTTGAAGAGGTGTTAGACGCCGAGTTTTCTGAGGATGAAATTTGGTTAGCTGTAAAGGAATGTGGCGGAAGCAAAGCGCCGGGACCAGATGGCTTCAATATGGCATGCATCCAAAAGTGTTGGAAATTCATGAAGAAAGATTTTGTCCAACTCCTAAAGGAGTTTCATTTGAATGGTAAACTGGTTAAAGGCATCAATAATTCCCTTATTCCTAAAAAAGATAACCCTTCTGATTTAACAGATTACAGACCCATTAGTCTTATCAATTCAACTTACAAGGTGTTGGCAAAAGTACTTGCACGAAGGATCAAATGGTACTTCCTGAGATCATTGGTGAGGTCCAATCTGCCTTTTTAGAGTGCAGATATATTCTGGATGGAGTCTTAATAGTTAATGAGGTGGTGGATGGTTGGAGGAAATCGAAGAAGAAAGATATAATTCTGAAACTTGACTTTCAAAAAGCCTTTGACTCAGTCAATTGGGAATTTCTACTGTCTATGATGTCTAATTTGGTTTTGGTGAGAAGTGGTTGAAGTGGATTAAAACTTGTATCTCATCAATAAGATTATCTGTGTTGGTAAATGGATCATCTACAGAGGAGTTTTCACCTGAGGAAAGGCTTAGGCAAGGGGATCCTCTTTTACCATTTCTCTTCTCAATTGTAGTAGAAGGTTTAAACTTGTTGTTGTCAAGGGCAAAAGATAAGGGTCTGATTAAAGGAGCATCGGTTGGCAGACAAGCGGTTAGTATTTCTCACATCCAATTTGCTGACGATACCATAATTCTTTGTGAGGCTGATGAAGAGGATATTCTCTCAATAAAAAGGATACTAAGATGTTTTGAATTATTGTCAGGTTTAAAAATTAATTTCCATAAGAGTGTTGTCTGTGGGGTTGGAGTAGAATATGAGATTGTTCAGTATTATGCCTCATTACTCAACTGTGGTTGGCAAAAACTTCCGTTAAAATATTTGGGGATACCTTTGGGGGCCAATCCGAGGAGGAAGAAGACATGGTAGCCTATTGTGGATAAGGTGAAGATGAAACTATCATCATGGAAAAGGAAGTTATTATCTTTTGCTGGTAGATTGACACTCATCAAGTCTGCTCTATCAAGTTTGCCTTTCTATTATTTATCTATTTTCAAAATGCCAAAGGGAGTGGTAAAGAGTATTGAGAGGTTACAAGCTGCCTTTCTATGGGGGGGATTCTGAGTTAAAGAGAAAGGTTCATCTAGTGAAATGGATGGAAGTTACCAAGTCTAAAAAGCAAGGAGAGCTGGGTTTAGGGAGAATTAAAGATTTGAATGAGAGCTTGTTATTAAAATGGTGGTGACGATATGGTTCTGAGACTGGTTCTTTATGGAAAAGTGTTGCGTGCAGTAAATATGGTCATGAAGGTGGTGGTTGGAGTCCATGTTTGGTAATCTCTAGTTCGATGTCCATAGTTTGGCAAGACATTTTATCCTCTGTGCTAAAAAATTCTGAATTGTATTCTTTTTTTGTTAATAATTTAAAATTTGTGGTAGGAAATGGAGAGAGGATCCTTTTTTTGTGGGATACATGGTTGATGAATGCAAAGTTGAAGGATGTCTTTCCTAGGCTTTTCAGTTTATCTGAGACTAAAGATGGGATATTAAAGCTTTTGGCTCAAACCAAAGAAGCAGCAGGGGAGTGGAATTTCTCATTCAAAAGACCTTTAAGAGCTTGAGAAGAGGAGGAGGTCAGAAGACTGATTGAGGTGTTGAATGGCGTTCCCAATTTAAGGGTCAATATAGATGATCAGGTTAGGTGGACTGCTGATATGTCTGGATCTTTCTCAGTTTCATCTTCTAGGAGAAGATGTGAGCTTAATCATGGTCCACATATCAGTATTGCCAAACTGCTGTGAGGAAATGATGCTCCTCCAAAAGTTAAGCTTTTTGGTTGGTTGGCTTGAAAAGGAAGAGTGAAAACAACATAATACCTTCAGAGAATAGCAGTTCTGGTTCTAATGTTAACAATCTTTGTCCATTTTGTAGGAATGCAGTGGAATCTATTAATCACATTCTTCTTCACTGCCATTTGGTTTGGAAGCTGTGGTCTGAAATTCTAGATTGGTGGAATTTGTCTTGGGCTATACCTGGGTCTATTGGAGGTCTTTTGGAGTGGTGGGATGGTATAAATTTTAAAAGATTTGAAAGGAGGTTATGGAAGTCTATTCCTTTTACTTTCATGTGGTCCATGTGGAAGATCAGAAATGAGTGTCTGTTCCAAGGAGTTCATCCAGATTTCAAGGGACTTTGGGAGATCATTAAAATTAGAAC